AGCCAGTGTCAGGCAAATTTGCCCCCAGGAATAGAAACAAGTGTCTTAGGAGATAAAGGGGGCTGGGTAGGTGGGCATGATCCCTGCCTTCCCACCTGCAGGTGAGGGTATCTGTCCACAGGGGCCGTGCCTGCGAAGAGCCCAGAACCACAGGCCTTTGTGGGGGGGCCAGGGAGAGGGAGGCACTGGCATTTCGGGATTTTTATTCCTTAAAAGGAAGGATTTGATCCATTTCATCAAAAGTGTGCCGTCCTGACAGACTGCGGCAAATGTGGATACACTGTACATTCCTTGGAATGCATTCTGCTCATTTTTGTTTGATATTGACACAGAAAGAGTGCAAATATCAGCAGACAAAGCAGACTGCAGAACATGCCCAAACCGGAAAGGTGGCTCTGTCCAGCTGCCGCCTTTCCTGGCATGAAGGTGCCCCAGCCCTCAAGAGCAGGGGAGGTGGGCGAGGTGTGGTTGGAGCAGCCGGACCCTCGTGGTCGGTTTCACGGAACTGACCTGTGACGCTCGCCCCGGTCTGACGCGCCGCCGGGTGTGGGCTCCGGCACTGAGGGATGGGAAGGCCCTGTGCATAAGTGGCTCCCAGCCTGCTGGTGAGGGTAGACCCTGAACAGAGTCTGCAAGCCCATCACACTTCAGTTCTAACCCAGTTCCCCTCCCGGAAGTTTGCCGATGCAGAAGGGGGAGGAAATGGACCTGACTCTTCCAGCCACATCAGTCTCTTCTCTGTGGCTTTTTGATGTTGAACAAGAAGGACTTGTTGTCAAGACAACTATGCATCCTTTTAGTGTCAATGCCAACATAATTACCTGAGCAAAGGATTCTACTCTTAAATAGCACGGGGGGTCGGGGGTAAACAGCAGAAGGATCATCTGTTCCAAAACTTTCTTTGTATGTGTGAGCCAGTATGTCCTCCTGGTGGATGCAGTCTTAGACTCGAACCTCTCAGGACTCCTAGTCCAGTGCTCCTTCCAGCTCACCACCCACAAAATCTGGCCTCACAGTTTTAGCCTGAAAATCTGCATCGTCATTTGTCTCCTTGAGATGTGGGGCCACTGGCCCTGGCTCCTGCTGCCCGTGGAGGACAATCTAAGAAGTGGCATCTGTGGCCCCAGCCTCAGAATGACCAAGGGAAGCCTCTGGCTTCTTCACCCAGACACCCTCTGTTCGCTCCCCACCTACCTCCTCGGACAGTCTTTCTCTGCTGCCAGGCTTGAGACATCTCCAGGGTCCTGCGGATGCCCACATGGGCAAAGCTGGCTCCATCTCCACCCTCAGGAAGAACGTGCTCTAGGTGAACAGGTGAATGTGCACACCTGGCTCCATCTCCCTCAGGAGGAGCACGCTCCGGGGAACAGGCGAATGTGCACACCTGGCTCCATCTCCCTCAGGAAGAGCGCGCTCCGGGGAACAGGTGAATGTGCACACCTGGCTCCATCTCCACCCTCAGGAAGAGCACGCTCCGGGGAACACGTGAATGTGCACACCTGGCTCCATCTCCATGCTCAGGAGGAGCACGCTCCGGGGAACACGTGAATGTGCACACCTGGCTCCATCTCCACCCTCAGGAGGAGCACGCTCCGGGGAACACGTGAATGTGCACACCTGGCTTCAGGGCCCACACTGCGGCTCCCGACTGTCATCCCAACACTTCGGGAAGCTGAGGCAGGGGGATTACTTGAGCCTGGGAGTTGGAGGCTGCAGTGAGCTATGATTGCACCACTGCGCTCCAGCCTGGGGTGACAGGGCAAGACCCTGTCTCTAAAAATATATATATATCCCTGTCTCTTAAAAAAAAGTATATACATATATATACACTCATACGCTAACTTCAACACCAAGGTTGTGGTTCATAGTATTCATAGCATTAAATACGAGGAAGACTCTTAAGGGTCCAAGCACTCTGCCAGAGCCGGGCTTTGGAGGAGAAAAAGGGAAAAAAGTAACACAGCCTCCATTGTATCGGAAAAAGTCCAGTCCAGAAAGCTGGAAGATGAAGGGTGTGAACGACTCGATGGAAAGTGAAAACTCTGATGTCCTTTTCCCAAAGAGGCAAGTGAGAAAGAGATGAAGTCTCCACTCCGGGGCCCTTCTCAGGGTCCTTTGTTTTAACTCTCCCTTATTCAGAGGACAGGAGGGCAGGGGTCCCTCCCTGTGGTGATGGGCACAGTCAAGCACGTGGCACCCAACGCCGGACAGATGAAATTGGCAACTGCTAATCCATCACCTGCACTCATGGCCGGGGCGGACACCGCACGTCACACAGGGCCCTGCAGGCGGCAGGAGGCAGACTTTGTGGTAGCAAGAGGGCGAGGGGCCCCTGGTGCCGCGGAGGAGGTGATGGGCTACTTGAGTGATTCAGGGGCTGCCAGGAAACCGGAATCCAAGCTCAGGGGTTGCGGCAGGAACCACTCCTGTGCCCTTGGTAAGGAGGGATGTTTGGCCACAGGACTTACCTGCAGGAGCAGAGCTGGAGGGGAGCTTGTGGTCAGGAGGTCTGAAGCCCTCCTGGCTCGCCCCAGAGGCAGCACATGAGGTTGGACCCGCACTTCAAGACTGAGGCTTTGCTCCTCTTCATCCTCAACACCCGCGTGGGCAGTGCCCCTGCCAGGTGACTCTTCCCACCCCTCTGGAGGTTTTGTCCTCAGCTCTTTGGTTCCAGGGTAACACATCTGGTCCCAATTTCTACCCTGAACTCCAGCCACCCTCCCCGTTTCTAAAACAGACTCAGCCCCACAGCGCACCTGCAATTCGGCTTACAAGACCGCCGCGCTCAGGCCCCACACACCCCTTCCCCTCAACCTTTGACCTGCTCGTCATCCTGTGAAACATTCCAGAACCCAGGGCAGGTCCTCACTCCACTGTGACCCTGGGTCAGCCCCCGTTAGGGCTGGAGGGGCCAGGACACGCTGGATCAGGTGGGTCTTAGATGAGATAAGAGGGGTCCCGAGGTGCTGGTCGTTGGTGCAGGGCTGGTCAAAACCACCCCATAGCACTATTTCATAAAAAGGAGATGAAGCCCGGGTGCAGTGGCTCACACCTGTAATCCCAGCACTTTGGGAGGCCAAGACAGGTGGACCATCTGAGGTCAGGAATTTGAGGCCAACATGGCAAAATCCCATCTCTACTAAAAATACAAAAAACATAAGCCAGACGTGGTGGCTCATGTCTATAATGCCAGCTACTCGGGAGGCTGAGGCAGGAGAATCACTTGAAGCCGGGAGGTGGAGGTTGCAGTGAGCCAAGATTGCGCCAGTGCACTCCAGCCTGGGTGACAGAGTGAGACTCCATTTCAATAAATAAATAATAAAAAGGAGATGCACGCTTACTTCCTCCCCAGCTTGCAATGCAGAGTGTGGGGGAGCGGGGGCAAACAGACGGCAAACGTGACGGTGTGGGGGAGGGTGCTGTGGTGAGGGGACAGATACTTCCCAGGGGACAGGCCTGCTTTGTGTCTTGTAGGGTGTGTGGGGCACAGGGACAAGGGCTTCCCAGGCCAAGGGCTGTGCAGGAACCCAACATGCCCGGTGGGGGAGGGCTGAGGACCCAGCACTGCCCACTCGGAAGGGCCCAGGCAACAGGAGCCCTGCAAAGCTCTGAAAGCAGGGCTCAGCCTAGACAAAGCCGCCGACAGCCTCGCACAAAGTGGACCAGGTGGGGACAGCCGGTTTCCCCCCACGCTCTTGACGTGGGATCTGGACTCGGGCCTCGCTTCTGTGCGTGGAATTCCTGTCTTTCTCCCAATCGCAGGCATCAGTGAAGCCTTTTGTATTCACATAGCAAACCTCTCTGGATCAGGGGACAGACGGTAACAGAGGGAGAGGTGGAAACCAGAATTAAGCCGCAGCCTTTAAGGCACTTGGCTCAGGGCATCAGTTGGTGGGTGGGACACCTTTGCGTCGAAGCCCAGTGTGGGGACTGAGCTCTTCCTGTGGACAGTTCTTGCCCTTCTAACTGGATGTTAACTTCTCGAGGCATAGTCCTTGGCTCTAGACTCATTTAGCCCATCTTTTTGTTTTGTTTTTTGAAAGAGACAAAGTCTTGCTCTGTCGCCCAGGCTGGAGTACAGTGGCGCGACCCTAGCATCACTGCAGCATCGACGTCCTGGGCTCAAGCAATCCTCCCACCTCCGCCTCCCAAGTAGCTATGTCCTGCCTTTTGACTCAGACACAAAACCGTGCATATAAGCATTTGTGTATTTTATTGAATTTCCATTTGTACCTCCCTCAGTGAGGGATCTCAGTACATGTTAGCTCACTGCTTACTACAGAACATGGGGCTGTGCGGTCCCCCAAGTCGTCTTCAATCTTCCTGTTTAGCATCAGAATTTCCTCCATTCGTGTATGCTGAGGAGCTATTGGGTGTTTAAACCCTGTGTGGTGGTGTGTGGGCATTTAAGTGACTGAAGACAGAACCTAGTAGTTCTTGATCACACCCAGAGTTTTACAAATTAAGTCCGGGAAACGGAAAACCAGGCTAAACATGGGAGAATCAATAAATGAGAGAAAATGAGCTATTCATTAATCTGCTTAGAGAATTCAAATCAGCGACCACAAAGATGGATTTCTGGCCGGGCGCGGTGGCTCACGCCTGTAATCCCAGCACCTTGGGAGGCTGAGACAGGCCGATCACCTGAGGACAGGAGTTTGAGACCAGCCTGGGCAACATGGTGAAACCCCATCTCTACTAAAAATAACAAAAATTAGCCAGGCGTGGTGTTGGGTGCCTGTAATCCCAGCTACTTGGGAGGTTGAGGCAGGAAAATTGCTTGAACCCAGCAGACAGAGGCTGCAGTGAGCCAAGACTGCGCCACTGCACTCCAGCCTGGGTGACAGAGCAAGACTTTGCCTCAAAAAGAAAGAAAAGATGGATTTCCTCATCCTGTTTGGTAATACAGGGAATGCAAGTAATTCTCTTAACGAGTCCACGTTGGCATGTTAGCGTTCCTCAGGCTTCTGACAAACGCAGGCGTGTCTGTCTTTTCGCAGCTCCAGTGGCTGTTGGATAATTATGAAACTGCGGAAGGTGTGAGTCTCCCCAGAAGTTCTCTTTACAACCACTACCTTCGGCACTGCCAGGAGCACAAGCTGGACCCGGTGAACGCTGCCTCCTTCGGGAAACTGATCCGTTCTGTGTTTATGGGGCTGAGGACACGGCGACTGGGCACCAGGTGGGTAGACGACCCCCAGCCCACCTGTCCTTCTTCTTCCTTTCCCAAGAAATGGAGCTTTTGGGAAAATGCTAGGCTTCCGCCTCCTGTCCAGGTGGCCTGATTTGCAGCCACCTCTGGAGTGCTTGCGGTTACTTTCTTTTTTTTTTTTTTTTTAGAGGGAGTCTCGCTGTGTCTCCCAGGCTGGAGTGCAGTGGCGTGATCTCGGCTCACTGCAAGCTCCGCCTCCCAGGTTCACGCCATTCTCCCGCCTCAGCCTCCCAAGTAGCTGAGACTACAGGCGCCCGCCACCACGCCCGGCTAGTTTTTTGTATTTTTAGTAGAGACGGGGTTTCACCATGTTAGCCAGGATAGTCTCGATCTCCTGACCTCGTGATCCACCCGCCTCGGCCTCCCAAAGTGCTGGGATTACAGGCTTGAGCCACCGCGCCCGGCCAACTTGCGGTTACTTTCAATTGGCGGCAGCCTTGGCTGTGGCTGGGCGTAGCCCGCGGCATTGGCTTTAGAAGCCGGTGTTAGGACATGGAGGTCACTCTGGTTTTCTCTCTCCTTTTGAAATTTCCCAAACAATACATTTGTTTGTTTGTTTAGAGCAGCCTCTGGGCCAGGTGTGGTGGTGCACGCCTGAAATCCCAACAGTTTGGGAGGCCGAGGCAAGAGGATCACTTGAGACTAGGAGTTCGAGACCAGCCTGGGCAACATAGTAAGACCTCATCTCTACAAAAAAATTAAAAATTAGCCAGGCATAGTGGTGCACACCTATTTGCACACCTGTAATTTCACTTATTTGGGAAGCTGAGAGGGGAGAAGCACTTGAGCCCAGGAGGTTGAGGCTGCCGTGAGCCACAATTGCACAACTGCACTCCAACCTGGGCAACAGAGCAAGACCCTGTGTCAAACAGACAGACAGACAAATAAAATGTAGCCTCTGGTTTATCCAGTAAAGCTGGATTTACCATTTATTGGTTTTTTGTTTTTGTTTTTGAGACAGAGTCTTGCTCTGTCGCCCAGGCTGGAGTGCAGTGGCGTCATCTCGGCTCACTGCAGCCTCCGCCTCCTGGGTTCAGCTGATTCTACTGCCTCAGCCTCCCGAGTAGCTGGGACTACAGGCGCCCGCCACCACGCCCGGCTAATTTTTTGTATTTTTAATAGAGACGGGGTTTCACCGTGTTAGCCAGGATGGTCTTGATCTCCTGACCTCGTGATACACCCGCCTCTGCCTCCCAAAGTGCTGGGATTACAGGCTTGAGCCACCGCGCCCGGCCGAGGCTGGAGAATTTCTTTTTTTTTTTTTTTGAGACGGAGTCTCACGCTGTTGCCCAGGCTGGAGTGCAGTGGCGCGATCTCGGCTCACTGCAAGCTCCGCCTCCCGGGTTCCCGCCATTCTCCTGCCTCAGCCTCCTGAGTAGCTGGGACTACAGGCGCCCGCCACCACGCCCGGCTAATTTTTTGTATTTTTAGTAGAGATGGGGTTTCACTGTGTTAGCCAGGATAGTCTCGATCTCCTGACCTTGTGATCCGCCCGTCTCGGCCTCCCAAAGTGCTGGGATTACAGGCTTGAGCCACCGCACCCGGCCGAGGCTGGAGAATTTCTTGAACCTGGGAGGGGGAGGTTGCAGTGAGCCGAGATGGCACTACTGCACTCCAGCCTGGGCAACAGAGTGAGGCTCTGTCTCAAAAATATAGTAATAAAAGAAAAACAAATTAAAAGAAAGGACCCAGGTGCTTCCTGCATGTCCTCGTTGCCAGCTCTGGAGAAATGGCATCCTGTGAGCTGGTATCTCCACAGCCATGTCTGCGGGTTAGTGCTTCTCTCCTGTAAGGACTCTGTGAGCTGTTTTCTGAGTTCAATTGTTTAAGGCCCTCTGATCATCATTCTCCTGTAATAAACTAATGTAATGGTCCCCAAACTGTGCCTTTTTCCAAAATGTGTTGCTAGATGACGGAAAGGGATGGGGAAGAGTTGTTAGTAATAATAATAGAGATAGGCCATGTGGAGCGCAGCAAAGCTGACCTGGTGTTCTCCACACAGGACTTGTCCGAGCCTGTGTTATACTAGCCTGTGAGAGAGGGCTCTCCATGACAACCGTATTAGGTGCAGAATTCCTTCATCACATTCCTCACGCAGTTCAGGAAATGCTGAACCAGACAGGCCAAAGTGAAAGGCCAGAAAACAGCACCTACCTTCCGAGCGTGGTGGCACACGCCAGCAGTCCCAGCTACTCAGAGGCTGAGGCGGGAGGATCACTGGAGCTCAGGAGGTCAAGGCTACAGTGAGCGGTGACTGCACCACTGCACTCCAGCCCGGGTGACAGAGTGAGACCTTGTCTCTAAAAAAAGAGAGAGAAGAGGCCAGGCGCGGTGGCTCACGCCTGTAATCCCTGCACTTTGGGAGGCCAAGGTGGGAGGATCGCTTGAGCCCAGGAGTTTGAGACCAGCCTGGCCAACATGGCAAAACCCTGTCTCCACTAAAAATACAAAAATTAGCTAGGCATTATGGCCCACACCTGTCATCCCAGCTACTCGGGAGGCTGAGGCAGGAGACTCTCTTAAACCCAGGAGGCAGAGGTTGCAGTGAGCTCAGATGGCACCCTTGCACTCCAGCCTGGGCGACAGGGTGAGATTCTGTCTCAGAAAAAAAAAAAAAGAAGTAAGACAGAAAAAGAATCCCAACCTATCTTGTTGTTCAGGACGTCGGCAAAGGGAGCTGACCCTGGGATGTTTGGTTTCCAGGGGCAACTCGAAGTACCATTACTACGGGATTCGTCTGAAGCCAGACTCTCCGCTGAACCGGCTGCAGGAGGACACGCAGTACATGGCCATGCGGCAGCAGCCCATGCATCAGAAGCCCAGGTGGGTGCGCGGGCCGAGCTGGGCGGGGCTGGCTTTCCCCTGGAGCATGGAGAGAGAGGTGTTTCTCCGACAAGCAACGAACTCATCATAACTCCCTCGTCTCCAGCATCCTGGGAAAGCCAAGGTACCCCCCTCTGCTGAGGATGAGGTGAGTCTAGCAGGAGACACGGGAGGCCGGGATGCAGCCTCCTCCAGCTAACTGTTTTCAGACTTTTGTTTAGACCATTTAAAACTGTTTTTGACAGACTTCTTTTTTATTTTTTAATTTTTTTATTATTTATTTATTTTTTTGAGACGGAGTCTCGCTCTGTCGCCCAGGCTGGAGTGCAGTGGCCGGATCTCGGCTCACTGCAAGCTCCGCCTCCCGGGTTCACTCCATTCTCCTGCCTCAGCCTCCCGAGTAGCTGGGACTACAGGCGCCCGCTACCTCGCCCGGCTAGATTTTTGTATTTTTTTAGTAGAGACGGGGGTTTCACCGTGTTAGCCAGGATGGTCTCGATCTCCTGACCTCGTGATCCGCCCGTCTCGGCCTCCCAAAGTGCTGGGATTACAGGCTTGAGCCACTGTGCCCGGCCAACAGACTTCATTTTTTAGAGTCATTCTAGGTTCACAGCAAAATTGAGTAGAAAGTACAGAGAGTTCTTCTACACCCCCAGCCCCGCTCCCCGCCGCCCCTCCCACCATCCGCCTCCCCCACACAGCGGTGCATTGGTTACGACCCATGACCCTCCATGGAGCCAGCGTCACCCCCCAGAGTCCACAGTCGACACCAGGGCTCACTCTTGGTGTTGGACATTCTACAGTTTGGACAAACCTATAATGACACGTGTCCCCCATCACAGTGTCACACAGAGTCCTTTCACAGCCCTAAAAATCCTCCACATTTTGCCTACCCAGCTTTCCCTCTGTGCCCCAGTCTGTGGCTACCGCTAATCCTTTACCATTCCCACAGTTTTCCCCTTATCCAGTGTCTTATAGTTGGAATCACAGACCCTTAATTTGTAAAACTTAGGAAGTAAAGAGAGAGAGGACTCTGCAAATAACCCAAGAAGCCAGGAGAAAGCAGCAGATGTGCTCAAGTCACGACTTCTTGACTTTTGGATCCAGTGGCTGGAAAGCCCTGGTCATTTTCTGGAATATCCTCTTCTTCAACCATCACAAACTTTCTCATCTTCTAAGGCAGGCTCAGCAAACCTTTCCTGTAAAGAGCCAGACAGCAAATATCTTAGCCTTGCAGGCCAGACAGTCTCTGTCATGACTGTTTAATTTGGCTGCATCCTGAAAACAGCCACAGACAGCATGAAGATGATGGGTGTGGCTGTGTGCCAATAAAATTTTATTTATAAAAACAAGTAGCAGAATTGGCCCTCAGGCCGTAGTTTGCTGGCCCCTGGTTTAGGGCCCATTCAAATATTGCTGCCTCCTAGTGTCCCTCCACAAGTGCCCACCCTCAGAGCAGGGGCCGCATTGCAGTAGCCCCATGTGGCACCTTCACACCTGGTGCTGGGCCCTCTGCACAGAGCCACCCATGTATGTGTGTATCTCAAAAACCCATTCCAGCTGCTCTGAGTCAGCCAGTGACTCCTGACCACAGCCAGTCCCAGGAGTTGGAGGTTCCAGGAGAGAGTTTCCAGAGCATTCCTTCTGTACCTCGTCGTCTGCAGACACGGACTCTGGAGCTCGCTGCCGTTGTTCAGTTTGGGCCCCTGGCGAACACCTGTGAACCTGTGCTCCAGGCAGTGTGTCATTTTAGGAGCAGCGACACACATTTCAGGGCGACAGGCTGATGCCATTTGCATTTGGAAGCCACAGCCTGAGCCTGTGTCTGTGTGGTGCCCACAGCCTGCCCTGAGCCAGGTGGTTTACACACACCTCGCCGGCATGGTCTCCCACCTCCCTGTAGGCCTGGCCCCGCTTTGTATTTGAGGAGGGGGGCTCCCCAGAGATGCTCCGGCTCAGGCCAGCCCCCTCCCTACCACACAGCAGCCTCCCAGGAGCCCAGCACCTGGAAAGCCTTCCTCGAGTGTTTCTCAGTGCCACCTGCACAGGCGGACACCACTGCTGGCTCAAAATGAAAGTCTCAGAACTTCTGAGATTGCGCCAATAATAAGATGTTTGTGATTCAAGCAAAGAATTCCTCCCCCTTTTTTTTTTTTTTTTTTGAGACTGACTTTTACTTTTGTCGCCCAGGCTGGAGTGTAGTGGTGCGATCTTGGCTCACTGCAACCTCCGCCTCCTGGGTCCAAGCGATTCTCCTGCCTCAGCCTCCTGAGTCACTGGGATTACAGACGAGCGCCACCACGCCCGGCTAATTTTGTATTTTTAGTAGAGATGGGGTTTCTCCATGTTGGTCAGGCTGGTCTCGAACTGCCGACCTCAGATGATCCGCCCGCCTTGGCCTCCCAAATTGCTGAGATTACAGGCGTGAGCCCCTGTGCCCGGCCAAGAATTTCACTTTTTTTCTGAAAGAGAAATGTTAGGGGGAAATGTATATCTATTTTCTCAAGTGTCCATTAACAAACTGTGGTTCATCCATATGATGGAATATTATTCAGCCTTAAAAAGGAGGAAATTCTATTCTGGGTGCGGTGGCTCACGCCTGTAATCACAGCACTTTGGGAGGCCAAGGCAGGCGAATCACGAGGTCAGGAGATCCAGACCATCCTGGCTAACACGGTGAAAACCCATCTCTACTAAAAATACAAAAAATTAGCCGGACGCGGTGGTGGGCGCCTATAGTCCCAGCTACTCGGGAGGCTGAGGCAGGAGAAGGGCGTGAACCCAGGAGGCGGAGCTTGCAGTGAGCAGAGATGGCACCACTGCACCAAGACTCCGTCTCAGAAAAAAAAAAAACGAGGAGGAGGAAATTCCAACACAGGCTAGAACTCAGTGGACCTTGAGGACACAATGCTCAGTGAGACAGGCCAGTTGCAAAAGGACAAATCCTGTATGACCCCACTCCTAGGAGGTTCCTAGAGTCGTCAGATTCACAGAGACAGGAAGTCGGGTGGGGGTGCCAGGGGCTGGGGACAGGGATGGGGAGTGAGTGTTTCATGGGGACAGAGCTTCAGTGCGGGAAGATGAACAAGTTCCGGAGATGACGATCGTAACGGTTGCACAGCCACGTGAATGTGCTTCATGCTGCTGAGCTGTGCACTCAAAATGGTTCCGATGGTAACTTTTGTGTTGTGTGTATTCGACCGCAACTTGTAAACATCATACACGCACATGCCTGACTGAATCCTGCCCAGCCCCCCACTCCTTGGGCCCACCCCCAGTAGGGCTGCTGGGCCTCACGGTGGCATGTGTGTTCCCGGCCTAGGTACCGGCCAGCCCAGAAGACGGACAGCCTTGGGGACAGCGGCTCCCACAGCAGCCTCCACAGCACCCCAGAACAGACCATGGCGGCGCAGAGCCAGCACCACCAGCAGTACATTGGTGAGAGGCCCGGACAGGCCCCGGGGCGGGGCTCCCATCGGCTCGCCACACTCCTGGGTTTCGACACCAGCAGAACCAGTGGCGTCTAAACGTCTGCTTCTGACAGTTTTCTTATGAGACACCTTTTCAGTCAAATAGAAAGTTCTCACTAGACCTTCTTTTTGACATCTCTGAGACTTTAGAATAATCAGCACATGCCAAAAAAAAAGTAATATATAAAGTGACCATCAGAAAAATGAGAAAATAAAATCCAATGACCATCAGGAAGAACACTAGAGGACAGGCGGCTCATGCCCGTGATCCCAACACCCTGGGAGGCCAAGGCGGGAGGATCACTTGAGCTCAAGAGTTCAAGACCAGCGTGGGCAACATACTAAAAAATTATTAAATAAATAAAAAATTAGCCAGGCATAGCAGCAAGCTCCTGTGGTCCCACCTATTCAGGAGGCTGAGAAAGGAGGAAGATCACTTGAGCCCAGAAGTTTGAGGCTGCAGTGAGCCGTGATCACGCCACTACTCTCCAACCTGGGTGACAGAGTGAGACTCTGCCTTTCAAATTAAAGAAAAAAGAAAGAGTGCAAAAAAAAAAAGATATTCTCTACTCAGGGTGCACCAGGATTTGCCTGCCATCTGGGCTTTCTTCCTTCTTGCCTGGAGCTTTCGTGGTGCTCCCGGTTCCCCCACATGAGGCGGTCTTGGCCTCCTCCCTGGGGGCTGCTCAGGGGACAGCGTTCTTCCCTAGCTGGCCTAGTGGTGGTGCCATCTCTGCCCCAGGAAGGCCCTAACTCAGAACCTGCCATGAGGGAGGGCGGGGGGTTGGGGGACGGCCAGGGAAGGCTCACTGGTATCAGTGTCGTGGTTCAGGCGGGCTCTGTACACACTCAGCGGCTTCCATGTAGTTTATGATCTTTTTTGAGCCCAAACAACCCTCCTGGGTTGAGTCTCCTGCAGAGATTGAGGTGGGGTCAGGCCCATCTTCAGGAGGTCACTGCAGGGACACTGTGGCTGGCCTTCTCCCTGAGATGTGCTGCCCTAAGCTGGCTCTGTGCGTACTGGCTGTGTGCCAGGGCTTGGGCTCAGGGCTTTCTGCGTCTGCATATTTAATGGTCCTGGGAGGTGGTAATATTCTCTCCATTTTCTACCTGAGAAAACTGATGCTTACAAATTCTCTGACAGTGCCGGGCGCGGTGGCTCACGCCTATAATCCCAGCACTTTGAGAAGCCGAAGCAGTCAGATCACTTGAGGTCGGGAGTTTGAGACCAACTTGGCCAACATGGCAAAACCCCATCTCTACCAAAACAATTCAAAATTAGCCAGGCATGGTGGCGCACGCCTGTAATCCCAACACTCAAGAGGCTGAGACAGGAGAATCGCTTAACCCAGGAGGAGGAGGTTGCAGTGAGCCAAGATCATGCCACTGCACTCCAGCCTGGGTGACAGAGCAAGACTTTGTCTCAAAAAAAAAGGCCAGGCATGGTGGCTCACGCCTGTAATCCCAGCACTTTGGGAGGCCGAGGTGGGCGGATCACCTGAGGTCAGGATTTCGAGACCAGCCTGGCCAAAACATGGCGAAATCCCGTCTCTACTAAAAAATGCAAAACTTAGCCGGCATTGTGGCGCACACCTGTAATCCCAGCTACCTGGGAGGTTGAGGCAGGAGAATCGCTTCAACCCAGGAGCTGGAGGTTGCAGTGAGCCGAGATCGTGCCACTGCACTCCAGCCTGGGTGCTCCTTTTGAGCAAGGCCCTGTCTCAAAAAAGAAAAACAAAAGAAATAAACAAATGCTCTGACTGCATGGGGTGGGGCAGACCATCTGTTTCTGGGCCCCCCATCCACCCATGGCCTTCCAGTTGTCCGCGGTTTCCTAAGAGCCCCGTTTCTGATGTTCCCGTGTTCCTCCCCCAGATGTCTCCCACGTCTTCCCCGAGTTCCCAGCGCCCGACCTGGGCAGCGTCCTGCTGCAGGACGGCGTCACACTGCACGACGTCAAGGCCCTGCAGCTGGTGTACAGACGGCACTGCGAGGTGACCGCCCCAGCCCAGGCAGGCAGCTCCTATGTGTCCCTCCCCGGAACTGCCGTCGCTCAGGCCAGGGTCGCCAGCGTCCCTGGGTGATGCTGAGGAGACGGAGCCCCGAGCCCCCCACAAGCATCCTCTCTGGAGCAGCAGCCCCTCCACATCCATGTCCATCGCCTGCTCCTCTCCTCTCTGTGGCCTCCCTTGGGATTCCAGGGCACCCCGCTGCAGCCCGGATCACGGCTGCTCACTTGACGTGTGCTGAGTGCACGTGGTGGGCGCACGCACCCGTCTGTCTCACCGGTGCCTTCATTCCTAGGCGACCGTCGATGTGGTGATGAACCTCCAGTTCCACTACATCGAGAAGCTGTGGCTCTCCTTCTGGAACTCCAAGGCCTCCTCCAGCGACGGCCCCACCTCTCTTCCTGCCAGGTGACTGCCACACCCTGGCTGGGTTCACAGCCCCCCTCACGTCTTAGCCCCCTGCTGATGTCCACAGGTAACCCACAAACAAAAGCATCAACTCTCCAAGAATTAGCGCTCAGACCCCTCTGCCTCCGTCCCTGTGATTTTTAGACTTGGTAGAGCTGACTTGAAATTCACATTGCCATCTGCCCCTTTTCGAGGTCAGACTGTTTGAATAGGGAGGATTTTAGAGGTGACCATGACGCAATCCCAAGTAGAAGGGACCCCAACCCATAGCTGCAGTGAGACGCAGTATGACAGTATGACCACCGGCAGGGGAGGGACAGCGTGGACCGCTGGGAGCATCACGGAGGGAGGGGACCCACTGAGCCTCAGGGACGGGGAGCAAAACCCCAGCCCCACTGTTGGGCAGAAGTCCCGCAGCCCGGCTCCCTGGTCACTCCCGTGGCTGTTCGAGCCCAGCTGGGCCAGGCCACAGCTCCCCTGTCCCCCTCCCTCCACAGTGACGAAGACCCCGAGGGCGCCGTCCTGCCCAAGGACAAGCTCATCTCCCTGTGTCAATGCGACCCCATCCTCAGGTGGATGAGGAGCTGCGACCACATCCTCTACCAGGCGCTGGTGGAGATTCTCATCCCCGACGTGCTGAGGCCGGTCCCCAGTAAGTGACCCACGGCCCCGCCTGGCGCCGCTCCATCCTCTCTCCCTGCGTCCTCTGTCCTTTCTTACATGTACATCTTCAGCCACCTGGGACCATCGCTTTCACAGAAGACCCAAAAGGGGCCAGGCGCAGTGGCTCATGCCAGTGACCCCCGCACTTTGGGAGGATGAGGCAGACAGATTGCTTGAGCCCAGGAGTTTGAGACCAGCCTGGGCAACATAGTGAGACCCTATCTCTAAAAAAAAAAAAAAAAAAAAAAAATTAGCTGGGGCCAGGCAATATTGCTCACGCCTGTAATCTCAGCACTTTGGGAGGCCAAGGCAGGAGGATCATTTGAGGTCAGGAGTTTGAGACCAGTGTGACCAACATGGTGAAACCCCATCTCTACTAAAGTACAAAGATTTAGCTGGGCGTGGTGGCGCATACCTGTAGTCCCAGCTACTAGGGAGGCTGAGCCAGGAGAATAGCTTTAACCTGGGAGGCAGAAGTTGCAGTGAGCCGAGATCACACCACTGCACTCAGCCTGACTCTGTCTCAAAAAAAAAAAAAAAAAAAAAAAAAAATTGAACTGGGCATGGTGGTGTGTGCCTGTAGCCCTAGCTACTCCGGAGGCTGAAGCAGAAGGATCACTTGAGCCCAGGAGCTTGAGACCAGCCTGGGCAACATAGTGAGACCCTGTTTCTAAAAAAAACAAAAATTAACTGGGTGTGGTGTTGCATGCCTGTAGTCCCAGCAACGCAGGAGGCTGAGGAAGGAGGATCACCTGAGCCCAGGAGGTCGAGGCTACAATGAGCTATGATTGCACCACTGCACTCCAGCCTGGGCAACAGAGCAAGACCCTGTCTCAAAAAAAAAAAGAAATCCCTAAGCGAGAGCGCTGTGGGCCGTGGAATGTGTGTCCTCTGGCGTCCATATCTGTCCTTGTCTCTGACTCGAGGGGAAGGCCACAGTGGCTCTGGTGAGCTCTACCTGCTGTCAGGACACTGCCAAGAGTAGCCGGGCTGGGCGTGGTGCTTTCTGGAAGGTTCACTGGGGGCGTGCAGGCCGGCCTCTGGGAGTAGCCTACTTGCAGCCCTGGAGCCATTGCTGTGCAGGAAGCCTTGGCCCAGGGCCGTGTGGGGTGGCTGCCCACCCTGGTCTTAGAGACGACCACCAGCCACCTTCCTCCAGCCTCCCTGAAGCCCCACAGTGACACTTCCTGAGTGCCACCCCCTATAGGAGGGGCAGGGACATAAACTTAGAAGAAGCAGCTGGGACGTGACCCTGGACTCCTGCAGCCTGTTAGGGTAGGGGCTGCCCTTTAACCCCCAGCCAGACCCCACTTCCCAGCACCATAGGATTCCAGGAGACATTTACACCCCAGCGCCCTGCCCTGTGATTTCCCACAGGACTTGCGGGGGTAGGGAGAGAGTGATGGGCACAGTGAGGAAAGAGGCTAGGCCCACGGCAGGGCTCACTTGTGCCCTTGGAGACCTACCAGGGCCTCCAGTTCCCGAGGCAATGACAGCATCCACCATGGGTGGGCCCTCAGTCCAGGCCCGTGCCAAGCTCCCCAAAACCCTGGGGGTCGTCCAGGAAGCTGGGCACAGAGGCCTGTCTTCATAAATCACAGCATCAGGACCACGGGCTGTGCCCCAAAGGCCATCCACAAACATCCGGGCCCATTAGTACCAGGCAGCTCTCCGTCCTGCTGAGTAAACTCTATGCAACCTTTGCTGGAAGATGGGAAACAGCAGAAGTATTACATTTCTCATTTGGCCTGGCCTTGCTGTCTGCCTGAAAACTGTTCGGGGCAATGCCTTGTTTGAGTTTCTATGTTATGGTGGAAGTTTGGGGTATCTTTCCTTTTGCTTTTTTTTTTTTTTTTTTTTTTGAGACGGAGTCTCGCTGTCGCCCAGGCTGGAGGCAGTGGCGCATCCCTCCCCCCCCCCCCCCCCCCCCCCCCCCCCCCCCCCCCCCCCCCCCCCCCCCCCCCCCCCCCCCCCCCCCCCCCCCTCCTTTTGCATTTTAAAATATTTTTCTGTTTTATTTTTTCTGTTTCTTTTTTTTAGACAGAGTTTCGCTCTTGTCACTCAGGCTGGAGTGCAGTGGCGCGATCTTGGCTCACTGCAGTCTTCGCCTCCCGGGTTCAAGTGATTCTCCTGCCTCAGCCTCCCGAGTAGCTGGGATTACAGGCACCCACCACCACGCCCAGATAATTTTTGTATTTTTAGTACAGATAGGGTTTCACCATATTGGCCAGGCTGGTCTCGAACTCCTGACCTCAGGTGATCCACCCACCTCGGCCTCCCAAAGTGCTGGGATTACAGGCGTGAGCCACCACGCCAGCCTTTTTTTTTTTTTTTTTTTTTTAACAGTCTTATTATTTGTTTCTTATTGTAAGCCACTTTAAAATAAATTAGGAAGTTGGTAGAATGTATTTACGTGTGTGTGTGTGTGTGTGTGTGTGTTTGTGTCAAGGCCTCTCTCCCTTGGCACTGTTGATATCTGGGGCTGGATCGTTCTCTGGGGTGGGGCCATCCTGGGCACTACGAGGTGCTGAGAAGCATCCGTGGCCTCCACCCACTCCATGCCTGAGGCGCCCCGCATGACGACCATTCACAACCCCAGACACCACCCAGTGTCCCTGGGGAGAACTGCCCCTGCGAGACCCGCACAGGCAGTGGGTGGTGACCAGCAGCGCTGGGCCACGCCTGGTTCTTCCCGTGTCTAAGTGTCCGCGGTTCCCCCAGCCTCTGTGGCTTGTTCTTCATGGTGGTGACTGTCATCGCGCTTGGGCCAGCCCTTCCATTGAATGCTGATTTCCAGTGTCCAGTCACTGCCTTTCCCCTGGTAATATCATGGTCTGTATCCCCCAGGTACCTTGACACAGGCCATCCGTAACTTTGCCAAGAGCTTGGAAGGCTGGTTGACAAATGCCATGAGCGACTTCCCACAACAGGTCATCCAGACCAAGGTATGTCTGGGGTGGGGCCTGGGCTCCCCAACTATGGCTGGGAGGGGCTCCACTCCAGGACAACATGAGGACCACTGTGTCCCGGAGAGCGCTGGCTTCGTCCCTGTGTCATGAGAGTAATCGGTCCCTTCAGGAAGCCCCGAGCACACAGCCGATGACGCATCAGTGCTGGCAGGAAGGGGAACAACAGAAGATGTCATTTGACGTCATATCTTTGAGTCAATTCAGAATAGATTGTGTGTTTCTGTGCTCATCTTATTAGGGAAACTTAATCTCCTTGCTGTGACTCTTATTGCTATAATCTTGGCCACAAATCAATCGAATTTGAAATGTAGAACCTTGGCCGACTTGTGGAAAAGAGAGTGATTACCCACCGTTCTCACAAGCATTTCTTTTTTTTTTTTTTGAGACAGAGCCTCACTCTGTCTCCCAGGTTCAAGCAAGTCTCCTGCCTCGGCCTCCCGAATATCTGGGATTACAGGCGCCCACCACCACACCTGGCTAATTTTTTTGTATTTTTAATAGAGACAGGGTTTCGCCATGCTGGCCAGGCTGGTCTCGAACTCCTGACCTCAGGTGATCCACCTACCTCGGCCTCCCAAAGTTCTAGGATTACAGGCGTGAGCCACGGCGCCTAGCCATCATGAGCATTTCTTGAAGGGCTCTTGGGTGAGAGGAGGCAGCTGCAGGGCACCCGCCTGCTCTTTGGAATTGATCTGTTAGGCAGTGGTGTAAGCATGGATCAGGTCATTGTTAAAAATTCAGATTCAGGGCCGGTGCAGTGGTTCACACCTGTAATCCCAGCACTTTGGGAGCCCAAGACAGGAGGATCATTTGAGGCCAAGAGTTGGAGACCAGCCTGGGCAACAAGCAAGACGCCATCTCTTAAAAAAATAAGATTCCCAGGCCACACCCACTAAAAGTCTGACCCTATAGCACCCAGGACTCTGTGGTCTCAACAGCCCCTCCAGAGAGCCACAGGGACTCTAGAAGTGGGCATGGGGCCGGTTGTGAATTCTAACTCGCGGACACAGGCTTCGGTTCGCGACGCGTGCGATGCACTGGCGAGGTCTCCGCTTCACTGATTCTCACTCACTGGGTCCCTAAGAATAGCAGGGGCTTCCCTCTTCCCTGCCCAGGTTGCTGTTTCCTGCTCCCTGCTCCCTGTGTTGTCCCTGAGCCCTGGCACCCCTGCCAGGAGTGCAGCGGAACAGGCTCTTCCCCGCGAACCCTGCTCACCACGAGCTCTGGCTTACAGGTGGGCGTCGTCAGTGCCTTTGCCCAGACGCTGCGGCGCTACACGTCCCTCAACCACCTGGCACAGGCGGCCCGGGCGGTGCTGCAGAACACGTCCCAGATCAACCAGATGCTCAGCGACCTCAACCGCGTGGACTTTGCCAATGTGCAGGTGACCTCCTCCACGCCGTCCCCCGGGCCTGGGCTTCCCGCCCTCCAGCAAAACCAGCAAACCCCCGAGTGGAGCCCATGGCAAACCTGGCCCCCGCCCCGAGCCTGGCCACAGTTCTGTTGCATGACACGGGCCCCAGGCCAAAGCCCACCCACAGCCCCCAGCTCTCTCTACTCCATCATCTCTCAGGGCCCTCTGGCGTCCAGGTGCTGTGGCCAACACTGCTGCTCATTTTCCTCACAGAGGCTCCTGGTTTCCAGGATCCTGGCAGCACATTGACCTCCCTGTGGCCATTTTCCTGACTCTGTCCCCTGGGCTTGGCAAAGTACCGGCCCAAAGCAGATTCAGAGCTATGCTTATTTCAGGCCCTGGGTTTATCCATTAAGTAAATAAATGCACACACACAGTTAGAAGTCACCCTTTTAAAACAAAACGAAATGAAGACCTCATATAGCATGAGCTTTGATCCAGAAAGACCCGGGTATGAGTCCCCGGAAGCCGGGTAGGATCCCCCTTGGCTCTCTATTCTGCCCCTGTTATGGGGGACACAGGGTGTGGCTTGCAGCTGTCAAGGTCAAGGATGAGAAGGCTCAAGCACAGCACGATGTCCCGCCCTGAGCACTGCTAGGTCCGGGGGGGGCTGCCATGGCTGGGGGTCTGTGTTGCTGACGCTGGCCTCCACCCCGCCCACAGGAGCAGGCCTCGTGGGTGTGCCAGTGTGAGGAGAGTGTGGTGCAGCGGCTGGAGCAGGATTTCAAGCTGACCCTGCAGCAGCAGAGCTCCCTGGACCAGTGGGCCAGCTGGCTGGACAGCGTGGTCACCCAGGTCCTGAAGCAGCATGCCGGCAGCCCCAGCTTCCCCAAGGCCGCCCGGCAGTTCCTGCTGAAATGGTCCTTTTACAGGTTAGTCCTGCCAGACCTCCGAGAGAATTCTGGCGGGTCGGGGGCTCCGAGGCAAACTTCTAAGGGGTAGCTCGGCTGGTGAGCTCAGAGAAAAACAGCTCAGCAGAGTTCCAGCAGTGCCTGAACCCCCAAAAAACAAGTACCTGGCTGGGGGCCTCACTCGTGACCAGCGGCTCCCAGGGGCAGGCCCAGAAGGCGACCGTAGCCTAAAAACTAAGTTGCAAGTTCTGCAGACAGAAATAATCACTAGGGGCTGGGCATGGCCACCCATACCTATAATCCCACCGCTTTGGGAGGCCAAGGCAGGAGGACAGCTTGAGACCAGAAGTTCCAGACCACCCTGGGGAAAATACCAGGACCTCTACAAAAAGTTAAAAAACTTGTCTGGGCGTGGTGGCATGTGCCTGTGGTCCCACATACTTGGGAGGCTGAGGTGGGAGGATCCTTGAGCCCTGGCGGTCCAGACTGCAGTGAGCCAAGATTGCACCACTGCACTCCAGCCTGAGTGACAGAGCAAGACCCCATCTCTAAGGGGGGAAAAAAAAAAAAGCTGTCTCAGAACTGAAGGGCACAAGTCTCCAAACTGAGAAAGCTGCTGACTTTTCCCAGGGAGGCTCCGGGTGAAATTTCAAAACACTAAGCTTGAGAAACAGCCATAAAAGCTTCCAGAGAGAAAGCGACAGGCTGGGGATGGGAGCAGCATTAGACTTCTGAACAATGTGCAGAAACCTGGAAGGCAGTAGAGTGATGTCCTGAGAGTTCTGATGGAAATTATTTCCAAGCTACAGACCTACCCTGTGCAGACCAGGGCAGGGGAGCCAAGGCTTCCAGAGGGATCATCCCCAGGAAAGGCACCAAGATGCCTCCTGCAGTTCTGTCAGGAGTTTTAGTCTCATGAGTACATGGAAAAGTGAGCATTTTAAAAAAAAGAGCCAGTTATTACCCCAGGAAAACACAAAGCTGTTCTGTGGCTGACAGGCCCTGCATGACGCAGCGCATGAATGAGCTATGGCCACAGGGCCAAATTGTTATCCCCACCTGTATTAGTCCATTCCCACACTGCTGATACAGACATACCCAAGACTGGGTAATCTATAAAGAAAAATAGGTTTAATGGACTTACGGTTCCACATGGCTGGGGAGGCCTCACAGTCATAGCGGGAGGCCTCACAGTCATAGTGGAAGGCCAAGGAAGAGCAAAGGCACATCTTACATGGCGGCAGGCAAGGGAGTGTGTGCAGGAGAACTCCCCTTTATAAAACTATCAAATCTCATGAGATTTATTCACTCTCAAGAGAACAGCATTGGAAACATCTGCCCCCATGATTCAATTACCTCCCACCGGGTCCCTCCCACAACATGTAGGGATCATTATAATTCAAGGTGAAATTTGGGTAGGGACACAGAGCCAAACCATATCACTGCCCCAGCCCATTGTGCAAATAAAGTTTTATTGGAACCTCAGCCACACGTATTCATTCACAGATCAGCTACAGCTGTCAATGCAAACAAACAGTGTGACTGTTGGGCACAAAGCTGACGGTATTTACTATCTGGCAAGCATTAAAACGAGTTTGCCTGGCTGGGTGCAGTGGCTCATGCCTGTAATCCCCACACTTTGGGAGGCTGAGGTGGGCGGATCACTTGGGGTCAGGAGTTCAAGACCAGACTGGCCAACGTGGCAAAACCCCATCTCTACTAAAAATATAAAAATTAGTCAGGCATGGTGGCCGGCACCTGAAATCCCAGCTACTTGGGAGGCTTAGGCAGGAGAATCGCTTGAATCCGGGAGGCAGAGGTTGCAGTGGGCCAAGATCGTGCCATTGCACTCCAGCCTGGGCAACAAGAGCCAAACTCTGTCTCAGTTAAAAAAAAAAAAATGTGCCAACCCCTCAGCTGGCCAGCCAGCACCTCCCTGTCCTCAGCTCCCTCCTTACACACTCCCCTGGCCACGCTGTTTCAGGGCCTTTCCACCTGCCCCTCTTTCCTGGAACATCTTTCCCCCAGACAGCCATGCGGAGAAACCCCCCACCCCCAGCCTCTGTAAATAGGACGGCCCATTCTGTCCACCTTCCCCCATGCCCTGCTTTTCTCTGGGCACTGACTGTCACCTGTCTCTCGTCATCTGTTCACTTGTCTGTTGTCTGTCTCCTGCATGATCAGGCACGCTACCTGGGTGCGGGACCTCGCTTCTGTTTAAATCCTGGCTGAGTGAATAAATGAGAGGAACCACATGCCTAACAGACTGCGCGGCTCTGCCATGGGCCTAGCACACCACTGCCATGCAACAGAAACACCAGTGTAGCCAGAAATTACCACAAAGCCACACTGGGGTAATGGGGAGGGAGAGCAAGGGAAGAGACAGTGTAGGGATGCCGATGCCTGTCTCCATGGACAGAGGAAGGTTGCAAGTGGCAGAATCGAGAAGAGCAGAGTGAGCGCAGGACTGAGGTACCTGCCAGCCAGAGAAGAGCACAGCTCAGAGCTGGAGGGGATCGGGGTCACGTCTGCAAGGCGGGGGTGCTCTTCACAAGGGAGACCGAGACACTGTTCCACTTCATTCTCTTGTTTGTTTGTTTGTTTTTTGAGACAGTCTCGGTCTGTCACCAGGCTGGAGTGCAGTGGTGCAATCTCGGCTCATTGCAACCTCCGCCTCCCGTGTTCAAGCAATTCTCGTGCCTCAGCCTCCTGAGTAGCTGGGATTACAGGTGCCCGCCACCAGGCCCGGCTGATTTTTGTATTTTTAGTAGAGGCGGGGTTTTGCCATGTTGGCCAGGCTGCTGTCAAACTCCTGACTTCAGGTGATCCACCTGCCTCGGCCTCCCAAAGTGCTGGGATTCCAGTCGTGAGCCACCGCACCCGGCCTGACTCCATTCTTTTTTTTTTTTTTTTTTTTTTTTTGAGACGGAGTCTCACTCTGTCGCCCAGGCTGGAGTGCAGTGGCCGGATCTCAGCTCACTGCAAGCTCCGCCTCCCGGGTTCCCGCCATTCTCCTGCCTCAGCCTCCCGAGTAGCTGGGACCACAGGCGCCGCCACCTCGCCCGGCTAATTTTTTGTGTTTTTAGTAGAGACGGGGTTTCGCCGTGTTAGCCAGGATGGTCTCGATCTCCTGACCTTGTGATCCGCCTGTCTCGGCCTCCCAAAGTGCTGGGATTACAGGCTTGAGCCACCGCACCCGGCCTGGCCTGACTCCATTCTTACGCATGTGCAGTGCCGTCATAAAAAAATAAAAATTAGGTTTACGGGATTTATTTCTGTAGCACCCACTGGAAAATGGTAGCATGTGGGCTGAGGCCTTGGCTGATCATCCCCAAGCTCTGGCTGGGCCTCCCTTGATGGTGGCTGGCCGATGCTCCTGCCCTCTGGGAGCTGCGAGCCCATTTGGGAACCCGGAGATACCGAGGTGACCGCAGGCGGTGTTCTGGAAATACTTCGGACTGAAGCATCACACCAGACACCGGGGCTGTGGGGAAGCTGGGTGCAGAGCGCCAGCACCTCATCTGCGTGGGGGAGGCCTTTGGGGAAAGGGGGCTTGGGAGTCAAGCTGGGTGGGCCCAGGGGAACAGAAGGGGGCTGGGGGCTTTGCAGCTGTGCTTGACACCTAAGGATAGACAGCTTTGGTGGTCTTCAGTGCGGCTGTCTTTGCTTTTCTCAAGCCTGTGTGTTCTTGTTATTGCTACGGTACTGATAAGACGTAACTGAGAGTTTATGAAAGCTTAGTTCGAGACGGGGCATTTGAGCATTGGGGACCACCTGACCTGTACGCCAAAGGTTTTAATCAGGCACCACTGTGGGTCTGAGTATGTGGGTCATTTAGGTCTCATAGGAGGACTGAGACGTCGTTCCACTTCATTCTGGGCTTTTTTGTTTTTTGGTTTTTGGTTTTTTTTGAGATGGAGTCTTGCTCTGTCACCCAGGCTGGAGTCCAGTGACATGATCTCGGTTCACTGCAACCTCTGTCTCCCGGTTCAAGCAATTTTCCTGCCTCAATCTCCCGAATAGCTGGGATTACAGGCGCCTGCCACCATGCCTGGCTAATTTTTGTATTTTTAGTAGAGATGGCGTTTCACCATGTTGGCCAGGTTGGTCTCGAACTCCTGACCCCAAGTGATCTGCCCACCTTGGCCTCCCAAAGTACTGGGATTACAGGCATGAGCCACCATGCCCAGCCCCTTTTGGTCTTATATTGATCCTTCAGGTCAGGGGCCGCCTCTCCTGGAAAGAACCAGGTAGTATTTGCAGCCATCCTAGGAAAGACAATATAGAAACGGGCATGACACGTGCCAGTGAAACTGTTTGTGGACACCAACATGTGAATTTCATGTAATTTCCACATGCCACCGAATATAATTATTCTTTTGACTTTTTCCAACCATTTCAAAATGTAAAGCATTCTCAGCTCACAGGCTGAGGGCTGGCTGAGGGCTGGATCTGGGCTGAAGTCTCTGAAACTCCTGCTTTCGCTGACAGAGACTAAAGCACCCTGGCTTTTTGTCTTGTGTTTAGGTGCCTGAAACCACAGGCTGAGGAATGGCGGGAGGTGGCAAGGATAACGGGGAAGGTGGGGAGAGGCGCCTCCTGCTGGGGAGACAGGCACCAGCTGCCAGCCTGTGCTCTGATTCGGAGTCCGAAATGTCACTGGAATCACCAGCCACGATTCCGTCCAGCGCCTGTGCTAGCACCAGCCGCAGTTGTGTTTCCAGCAGCCTGTCGCTTTGGGGCTGACTGCCCGTCTCCCTCTCCTGTCCCCCAGGCGGTCTCTGGAACTGAGTGGGCAGGCCTGCCCCACCCATCCATCACGCTGGGCCCAGGGTCTCGGCAGTCATCGGCCCCCCACAGGCCAGCAGGTCTTAGGATCACTCAGGGTCTGGGTTCCCCAGGGAACACAGAGCAGGGAGCGTGTTGCTGCCATGAAGCCTGGCCCGGGACCCGGGTTCCATGCTCCCCTGAGGGTCCCCAGCCTCTGTCCGCTTGTCCCCAGCTCCATGGTGATCCGGGACCTGACCCTGCGCAGCGCCGCCAGCTTCGGCTCCTTCCACCTCATCCGCCTGCTCTACGACGAGTACATGTTCTACCTGGTGGAGCACCGCGTCGCGGAGGCCACCGGAGAGACGCCGATCGCTGTGATGGGAGAGGTGAGGACCCTCCTGGGCGGGCCGGCCGGGGCTTGACCAGGCCTGTGGGGAGAGGGCAGTGTGCTCTGAGCAGCCCGGAGAGAGGACACGCACAGGTCCCGCTGCTCTGCCGCCAGACAGATCCACAGCTCTGTAAAGAGCCACAGAAACGGGCCCGCTCATGCCAGGACACAGCAGTGTCTTCCACAACATCCAAACCACAGTTTGATCAGCACCGGGAAGGCTCTGGGGCTCTGTCCGAGTTCACAGGCACCGTCAAACCGCTGGCTGTGGAAGGAGTTGTCCTTGGGTGTCCTGCCACGCAGGGGAGGCCTCGGACACACCACCCAAAGTGTATTTGTATCGTGGTGACATACACATGGGGTGGTGTTTCCATGTTAAAGCGCACAATAAAGTGGCGTTTAGCACATTCACAAGGTGCAGCTGACACCACTGTCCAGTTCCAGAATATTCCATCACCCCAAAAGGAAACCCCGTCCCAGGAGCAGTCACTCCCAAGCCCCTCCTGCAGCACAGCCCCCACGCAGCCCCCTCCTGCCTCTGCGGATCGGCCTGTCCTGGACATTTCATAGAAATGGGATCACACACTGTGGCCTTTCGTGTCCGGCGTCTCTCACTGAACGTGACGTCTGTGCTGTGACCCGGGTCAGAGCCTGGTTCCTCTCCTGGCTGAGTTGTGTTCCAGTGCGTGGCTGGCCGCGCTGCGCTGACCCTCGTGCCTCCGTGCTGCGTGGCCGCTCCCTCTCTGTGGCCGTTGTGAATGGCGCTGCTGTGGGCATTTGTGGGCGGGTTTTGTGTGCACACCTGTGTTCAGTTCTTTGGGGTCCACGCCTTGGAGTGGACTTGCTGGGCTGCATGGGTTTGCCTCGAGGAAGAAACGAGGTGATGCTTGATGAATGGCAGGGTCCCTGCCCTCTTACTACCCAGAGGCCACAGCACCCTCAGAGTCGGTGGCGGGGCCCCGCAGCGTGTGCAGAGACTGTGGCAGCTGTGTGTGCTCTGCGTGTTGGCGTGGACGCCGGGCTCTGGGGCCACCAAGCAGTGGTTTTCATGCTGTACACAGACTGCAGGGAGCAAAGATAACTTGGCCCACGGCCCTTCCCTGCCACCTTAAAACCCAGAGCAGCCACACCCAGGGGACCTCGGGAACCAGCTCCTGTGCCCTCACTGCCTCGAGCAGTCAGCACCCTCCACCCCCAGCAGTTCCCAGAGGCGGCCTGGACAGGGGACAGGGACCCACCCAGACGCCTGGCAGCATCAGAGCCACTTCTCAGGGCAGACCCTGGCTGCTTTACTGTGAATGGAGGACGTGGCTCAAGGCAAGGTTGGGCAGCATCCCCAGAGCCCCCAAACAGCAACTGCCACCCCTCTGCAGGCGCCCCTGACTCCAGGTTTCTCTTTCAGTTCAACGATCTCGCCTCTCTGTCGCTGACGCTGCTTGACAAAGGTGGGTGTGTCTGCAGCTTTCCCGCCACGGCCCTCCCAGGAGGGTGGTACTCCTGGCCGTGGCCTGTCTGCCTCATCTCATGATGAGCAGGTGGAAATGGGGGCAGCCCCTGGGGGGTGAGGGCCCTGGGATCTGGCGTCCAGACAGTGGGTGAGGGCCCTGGGCAGCAGGCGCCACTGCAGACTGGCTCGGCTGGGGCTCAGAGTGCTGCCGGCCTCTGGGTAGCGGCTGCCCAGGGACCTCAGCACCAGGTCCGGACCAGGCAGCCTCTGGTCTCCTGCGCCCATGCCCAGCAGTAGAGTGGGACAGGCAGGCCAGAGGAGCCCCTGGGCCCCGTCCCTGCTCCACGCGGGTGGGAGGAGGACCCCAGAGGCCCCAGCCCTGTGGGGAGCAGGCCCCAGGCCTATCGGCCCTGGGGAGAGAGGCACCGGACAGAGGCTCTTTCGCCTGGCCCGACCTGGGGGCACCTCTGGGTGACCAGGTAGGTGGGAGAGGACAGGTCAGCCTGGAGCAGAGGCCAAGGCGGGGTCCACGGGCTGCCATGTGTCCTTAGTACCCTGCCTGGCGTGCCGGAGCGGCTCTTGGAACATGCGCTTCCGTCTCTCCCTCCCATGCCCTCCTGATGATGGACACTGACCCTACCCCTCCCTCCACAGACGACATGGGCGATGAGCAGCGCGGCAGCGAGGCGGGCCCGGATGCCCACAGCCTGGGCGAGCCCCTGGTGAAGCGGGAGCGCAGTGATCCCAACCACTCCCTGCAGGGCATCTAGCAGCCCCGGCCGGCTCCTCCGCCAGGTTCCAGAAGATGCCGCCCGGTCGCTCTGGGAACCTGGACTTCACCGGCTCCACCAAATTAGTGCCTCTTAGACGATGGATGTTTACTTTGACTCAAGCGGGGGCTCCCGGGGTCAGCGTGCCCTTGAAGGCCGAGAGAGTGTTCAAGAAGGAAAGCAGTTGTTGAAGCTACAGAAGCCTGGGCCGGGGCTCCCACTGACTGTAGCTGTGCTCTGGGTGCCAGGCCCCTGTACAGCCAGCAGGGCCACACCAGACCATGGGTTCTTTGTTCTGGACAAACCCTCCTCTGCTGGAACTCTGGACTTTGGCCCCAGTCCCTTTAAGAGCTGAAGGGGCTGTGCTGAGAGCGCTGGCCCCTACACTCAACTGGAACCAATTTTCACCATGATTTAAAAATTTAAAAACCTGGCAGAGCCCGAATAGAAAGGGACGGCCTCTCCCCTCCTACCTGCCACCACTGGGGAGACACAGAGCTCGCCAGCATCCCTGGAGTCCCGTCAGGAATGGAAAGTGGAGTGCCCTTGTCTGGTAGCACCATGTGGGAGGGACCCAGCTGTGTGCGGTGCCCTGTGGCCTTTTAGAGCCAGACTGCCCTGCCCTGACGCGCTGAGGCGGGAGGCCGGCCGTGCTGCAGGAACCCACCTCCAGATGCCAAAGGACTTGAGGGCAGCTGACAATCGCTGTGTCCTGGACAGATCTGCAGCTTGAAAAAGAACAAGCCACAGAAACGGGCTCGCTCGTGCCAGGACAAAGCAGTGTCTTCCGAAAACTCAAAACCAGAAGTTCTGTCAGCACCAGGAAGGATCTGGGGCTCTGTCCAAGTTCATCATCACCATCAAGCCGCTGGCTGTGGAAGGAGTTTGTCCAACAGGAACAGTGTCACAGCCGCGACTTCGGAAAGCAGCCATCCCGCCTGTCGTCCAAACAGCAGTGCCTGCGTCCCGCTCCACGGAGTCTTCCAGAACGCCTCCCTCTGAATTAATCCCGGAGCACCCCAACCCCCAGCGAGTCCCACCTTGTCCTCTTCAAAGTCAGAACTCTTCTCTGGGGACAAATATTCGGGACTTTCGAAGCCCCGAACTTGAGACACCGAGTTTGTCTCCATGGAGACACGTGGCCGCTGCAGTTGGACAGCTGCGTGCTGGAGTTTCTGCCCCCAAACCAGCTGCAGAGAAGAAAGACGAGCCTCGGCCCAGGACGCGCTTTCTAACGAAATGCAATAGTTTTCTCTTTTTGGAAAAATGTTTATACCAATAGTTTTGTGCTCTAATTGTTATTAGAATGTTTCTTATGAATGTGTACATTGCAGTATGTTCAGTCCCAAATGTTTTGTTCTCATTCACACAGAAGGTACTAATAGCTCACGTGGCCTTTAAAAACCTTCCTTCCCTGCTTGCAGGAGCTCAGAGCAACGCTCGGCCTGCGCCCGAGTGGAGGGGCAGGAGGAGAAAGACGCGTGCTCACTTTAGAAACGAAAAGTCAGGAATAATCACTGTTTGTCTGGTCGTATAGCCCAAACCTTAGTTGAAATCCGACGGAAAGAATGTCTTTATACCTCTCCTCTCCTTGGAGACACTGAAGCTCACAGTTAACAGATTGTAACGCCCGGCTTTTGCTCACTCCTGGTAACCAATACAAGCTGGTTTCTGCCTTAGGCTCCGGCCCGTCTTTCCGATCCACGAGGAGCAACAGAGGTGGCAGCAAAGCCACGAGCCTCTCAGGCCTGGTCTCGTTTTTCATAGCAGTAAACACTGAGCGTGCCCACTTTTGGACTCGCTGTCCACACTCCAGGCCCTGCCCCCCCCCCGCCCTGGGACACCAGCCTGCTGGGCTTGAACCACTCAAGACCCAGAGGAGAAGCCACAGAGGTGCCCCCCGCACTTGCCTGCAGGCTCCCTGGGGATGTTCTAGTGCCTTCCAAAAGGAGCCCGGGGCCCTCAGTTCCTTAGCAAGGCCCACCCTGAGCCAATGATGGCACAGAAACACTTCTTTGTCCAGGATGGTCAGTGGCTCCTGTTTACACTTTGGGTTTTTTTTTGTTTTTGTTTGTTTGTTTGTTTGTTTGTTGTTTAAGAGATGGTTTCATTCTATTACCCAGGCTGGAGTGCAGTGGCATTATCATAGCTCACTGCAGCCTCAACCTCTTGGGCTCAGGTGATCCTCCCACCTTAGCCTCCCCAAGTAGCTGAGACAATAGGCGCGCGCCACCACATCCAGTTAATTTTTTTTTTTTTTTTTTTTTTTTTTTAGCGATGGGGGTCTTCCTATGTTGCCCAGGCTGGACTCAAACTCCTCAGCTCAAGCGATCCTCTCACCTCGGCCTCCCGAAGTGCTGAGATTATAGGCGTGAGCCACCGGCCCGGCCTCCTGTTTGCATTTGTTACAGGCTAGACCCACTTGGATCTAGTGGAGAAGCAGGTGCACCGGTCTCGGATCCGAACCACTGGTTGTCCTCATGGTTTCCTTGGTACAGTTGGGGCCAAACTTCAGAATCATTGAGAATCAGTGCATGGGCTTGCTCAAAAAATTCCTGGACCCCATCCACAGGGAGCCTGACTCGGTGGGATTCGGGTAGGGGCCAGGAAGCATGCTGTTGCTGCCATTCCCTCTCAGGGGACTGTGGTGCGGGGCTACAGGACTTTGAAGAAACTCTGCAGAGGACAGCAATGGGCTCAGGAACCCGGCAGGGCCCACCTGTGGGAGGGAGGTGGCCCACAAAGGCTAGTAGTACAGTTCTCACTCAGCTGCCCCTAAATCTGTTTCCCGAGTGCCAGGCCAGTGCCCCGTATGCCCCCAGAGACACTCGGCCTTTGCCCCAGTCCAGGCCTCTCTGTCCCAGGCGACACTAGAATCGCCCCTCCCTTCCCTGGGCTGGGACTCCAGGACCCCACTGGGTCCTGACGGTGCCAACTTCAGCCAGGAAATCCACTCGCCCCATCCCCTGCTGGGTCACAATTTCAGACCTTCCTCCAGCTGAGACCCCTGAGTCAAATTAGGCAAGTACCAACTCCCCACCTCCCCAACCGCCGCAGAGCCAGGCCCGGTGTGGACTGCAGGGCCCAGAGCAGGAAACCCAAGCCCTGCCCACGGGGCCTGACAGGCTGGGGAAAGCAGGAGCTCAGAGCATGGGGGATGGTGCCCCAGGAAAGAGGAGCCCGCTTGAGCTCCTCAGGCCATCATGTGCCTCCAAAGCCCCCTGGGCAGGTCCCCAGGGTGCAGTTGCCTCAGAAAAAAAAGGGGAAACTTGGTTTTACCAAGCATCTCAAGGGGGTACTGGCCGTCATCACAGCAGCCTCCACGCTACACTTCTGTCCCATCTCCTCTTTTTGATGACCTAAGGTAGAGGTAATCCCCATTGTACACGTGGGAAAAGCAAGGCTGCTGGTTGGAATGCCGATGTGATGGCTGGAGCACAGCAGCCACAGTGGACCTCAAGGTGGAAGCCCCATGATAAGGATGGGAAAGCAATGAGTCAGAGGAGGCTGGGTCCCCGGTGATGGTAGAGCTGCCATTACAGCCCTGACCTCCAGGCAGATGTCAGCAAGGAGGGGTGGGGAGCCCCAGAGATGTCCCTGCCTTCACGAACTGTCTGGTGGCAGGAACTCCAGTGCAAGATGGGAGGGGACCCCACGCACTGCAGCTACCAGCATGCTAGGAAGGGGGAGATGCGGGCCAGGCGCAGTGGCTCATGCCTGTAATCCCAGCACTTTCAGAGGCCAAGGCGGGTGGATTACAAGGTGAGGAGATCAAGACCATCCTGGCTAACATGGTGAAACCCCGTCTCTATTAAAAATGCAAACATTAGCCAGGTGTGGTGGTGGGCGCCTGTAGTCCCAGCAACTGGGGAGGCTGAGGCAGGAGAATCACTTGAACCTGGGAGGTGGAGCTTACAGTGATCGAGATCGTGCCACTGCACTCCAACCTGGGCAACAGAGCAAGACTCTGTCTCAAAAGAAAAAAAAAAGGGGAGAAGCTCCACCTGGAGTACCCCCCACCACCCCTGTTTTCCTCCTGCTTCTGGCTGCTGCTCCTCTGCGCCTGGGTCCTGCCCACTCCTCTCCTCCTTCTACTCCCTCAGTCACCTCAGCCACTCCCACGATGGAAATACCTCCACAAGCTGCTGACTTTACTAAACTCTGCTCAGAGCTCCTGGGTGCCTGGCCCTCGGCAGAGCAAGACAGCAGCCCGGCATCTGGCCGTCCAGACCTCCTCCCCATGTCTCCACCACAGTGTGGGCAGCACCTTCCGTCTACCCACATTGCCCTGCCCCACCCCTTGGCCCTGCCTCAAAATGGCCATAATCAGACCGTTTCTCCCCTTCCTCTTTGCTACTCCCCAGCTCCTCCTTGGCCAGGAGAGGCAGAGTGGCGAGGATTCCACTGCACAGGTTTGAGAGTCAGCTCCACTGTGCCCTCAAGTAAATTACCTTCATCAGTTTCTCCCTCTGGAAAAGAGACAATACAAATACCTCACAGTGTTGTGAGAAAGAAGATCAATATACAGAAAGCACTGGACTAAGCCTTCAAGAGTTGTTTCTACCCCTTGGCACGGCCGATACCACAGATGGTGGGGTGTCAGATAATTCTCCAGGGTGAGCCCATACTGGGCACCACAGGGTGCTGAGCAGCGTCCCTGGCCTCCACCCACTCCGTGCCAGGAGCACCCCAGCCCAATCCTGACAACCAAAAATGTCTCTGGACGCTGCCAGTGTCGCCTGGGAGACACCTTCCTCTTTAGCACTCGTCTTAATTGGCGCTTCTTCCAGGAAGCCTTCCTGGGTGCTCCCTGGGTAGATTAGGGTCACTTAGACCCAACTTCCCCACCAGACTTTATAGTAATTGTTTGCAAATCTATCTTTCCCACAAGCTCTGCGAGTGAGTAGCTATCATGTGCCTTGTTGAAATGGATTTCCCAAATCTATCACAGCACATGCTCAGCAAACATTGAGGGCATGAGGGAGTGGGGAGGGCCCCCCAGAGAAAGCGTTCTTTACGGTGATCATGGGAAGGAAGGTGCTGTGCCAGGGAGGAGAAAAAAACGTCCAGAGGAGTGATGAGGAATTCCAAAGAAACTGGAATTCAGGCAGGAGGCCACCAAAGGTTTTTGATGTAATCAAAGCTGGGCTTTAGAAAGCTGTGTTCAGGCAGGGCGGATTACACCAGAAGAAACAGGAGCACGGGGTCAATTAGGTGCTTGTTAAGATAGAACAAGTGAGGGGTAGAGTTGTGGCTGCGGGGTGGAGCAGGGGCACCCGGGAGTCCTGTGGAGATCAAATTGGTGAGTTATACCCGGTTTGGTTTGGTTTTTCGTGTGTGGTTTGGTCTTTTGTTTTGTTTCGTTTTTTGAGACAGTCTTGCTGTTGCCCAGGCTGGAGTGCAGTGGCACAATCTCAGCTCACTGCAACCTCCACTTCCTGGGTTTAATCGATTCTCCCCCTCAGCCTCCTGAGTAGCCAGGATTAGAGGTGTGCGTCACCATGCCTGGCTAATTTTTGTATTTTTAATAGAGATGGGGTTTTACCATGTTGACCAGACTGGTCTCAAACTCCTGACTTCAGGTGATCTGCTCACCTCAGCCTCCCAAAGTGCTGGGATTACAGGCGTGAGCCATCGCGCTTGCCTTTTTTTTTTTTTTTTCCCTAATGAACCAGGATAAAAATCTAAAACATCAGGAATGATGATGTAATAAAGATAAATATAGCTTTGCAAAATTTTCACTTCAGTGTATGTGTGAGTGCACATATACACATGCATTTATGGTATTGGGCTGCGATGTAAAATGCATTGAATACGCACAGGTCTCCAAAGCCACAGTACCATATATGCATGAGTATATGTGCACTCACACAGAGGCTCTCAGGAGGGCTGAGAGTTGTTCTCAGCCTATTGTGAGATCGTGGGCCCCTCCTGGAATCCTGTCATGGACGTTTTGTGGGGTTTTGCTATCCAGCATCCATCCTGCCTTCTTTTGGAATAACACCCTGATTCTCTTGGAGGACTGATCTTCCTCTTGTGGCTTTAAATACTGTCTCTGTGTGGGTGGGTCTCACATATTGAGGGAGGCTGTTCCAGGTGGGCAGGGAGGGAATGAGTTCGGCGTGTTGGGGGTGGGGGGAGTGGTAAGGAGGCTGGTGTTGCTGGCACAGAGTGAATGGCAGGGCAGGAGGTTGAGGAAGGCTGCAGAGTAATGGGATGCGGGCTTCCTAGGTCCCGGGGAGGAGCTGGGATGCCTCCACTTGAATGTCTCAAACGGCATCTCACACCACTGGTTAGGCACACAGAACCCACTATGTATTTATTGCTCAATAAATATTTGATGGAAGGGCCAGGCACGGTGCCTCAAGCCTGTCATCCCAGCACTTTGGGAGGCCAAGGCAGGCAGATCACCTGAGGTCAGAAGTTCAAGTCCAGCCTGGCCAACATGGTGAAATCCCCATCTTTAATAAAAACGCAAAAATTAGTTGGACGTGGTGGTGGCGCCTATAAATTCCAGCTCTTTGGGAGGCTGAGGCAGGAGGATTGCTTGAACCCGGGAGGTGGAGGTTGCAGTGAGCCAAGATCGTGCCACTGCACTCCAGCCTGGGCGACACTGAGATTCCGTCTCCAAAAAAAAAAAAAAAAAAAGAAAAGAAAAAATGATGGAGGAATGAATTTG